CCATCCCTTCTCCTTTGGGCATCCTCAAAGCCCTCTCCAAGAGTTCCCCAGGGCAGAGTTGGGGGACAGTTGTAGGAGGGCCATGCCCCATCCCAATTTGGGGGGCGTGTGGGGGTGCCCCATAAGTGGCCCCATCCCCGTCGGTCCCACCTGGGCTCCCACCCCAGATTTTGGGGCGCCGCTTATGGGGAAACCGGGGAGCCCTTCCCAGCGTGGCCTCGGCCATTCCCAAACTGGATGGAGCTACGTGGGGAGGCACCCCATAAAAAGGGGGGAGGGGGGGTGTGAACCCCATCAATGCACCCCTCAAGCCACCCCGATGGCCCCCAGCTGGGGGCAGGGAGGAAAACTGGGAACTGGGGGGGTTCCACGACGGGGCCGCCGGGATCCCGTCAGCCCCGGCACAAAGAGGAATGCGACGAGCACATGGTTCCCATTAGCCCCGGAGATTTTTTTTCTTTTTCTTTTTTTTTTATGATTATTACTTTTTTTTTTTTCTTTTTCCCCGTTTTCTGCAGCTCGGCCAGGGAGGAGGAAAAGTGGCAGCTCCTGCGGGCGAGGATTTGAGCGGCCGGGCAAAGGCTGGCAGCGCCGGAGCCCGTTTGGGGTGTTGCCGGCGGGGAGGGAGGGAGGGAAGGAGGGAGCGAAGCCGCTCGGGGGGTTTTTTCCTTTTTAATCCCTTCCCCTGCTTGAGTCAGAGGCTGAAGTCACCAGCGAGCACGTCCCGAAGCTTTTTCCCCACCACGGGGGGAACAGCCACCTCCCGAAATGATGCACCGACGTCTGTGAGCGGCATTTTGGGGGAGCGGAACCGCCCCGTGCCGGGGCATGAGGCCGGGCAACTCGTCACACAGGTATTTTTCAGGCTGCTGATTCGTCTCGGGGATGAATCCTGCTTTACCGGCGCAGCGCCCCGGTTAAAGCCTCGGGGTTCCCCCCCTCCCTGCACCGCCAAACCATTCCGTTTGGGAAGGGGAAGCTTCGTCCCAGCTGCTTTTCCCGTTGGGAAGCTGAATAAACAGCCCTTTTCCTTCCCGAGCGGGGTTTATCGGGGTCGGGCGCATCCTGCCTGCGCCGCCGGGCAATGCTCGGGGGCCGTTTCGGTGACTGGGACGCAGCGATTTGCGGCATCGTGCCTCGGTTTCCCCATTTGCAAAAATCAAGGGGGGATGCCCCAAGCTGGCAGTGATTAGTGGGGAAATAGGGGTAAGCAGGGAGGGAACAGGAACCAGGGGATCTAGAAACATCCCCAAAAAAGGGTTTGTGAAAGCAGATCCTATTGCAACCCCCTTTTTAAGAGGAAAAGTGGGGTTTTTCTCCTGCCTGCAGGGAATTTAATCCCAGGTGGGGGCAGTAAGAGGAAAAAAAGGGGGTTAAAATGCTTAGAAAGGGGTGAGGTTTGGCCACAGAGGAACGAAAATGGGAGATTTTGGCTGCTGCTTTGCTGGGACCCTTTACCCTGTGTCCTCCCAGACACAAGACCATTTATTGCTGTGACGTGGGACGGGGACGCTCGTTCCTTCCCCCTTTCCGGGAGGGTGAGGAGGGAGGCGGGTTGAGGCCGAAGGGCAGCGCGGCTGCAGAAGCTGCCGGTGCACCTGTGGGTTTTGCTCCCTTTCATCTTATTTTCCCCAAAATTTGAACCCAGGTCCGGCCCTTCCACGGCTTCGGCGATGCTGCCGGGGAAAGCGGAGAAGAGGATCGCTTCGTCAGTCTTCATCACCCTGGTGCCGCCACGGAGGGAGGTGGCTGCCAAGGAGAAAACCCAAAAGGAGCCGCAGCCGGATGGTGCCAAGGTCCTGGGTACTCATCACCCCCAGACCCCACCGCTGCGGCCCCCCACATTGCCGAACGGAGGTGAGGGGTGTCCGCGGGGGGCTGCGAGCGGTGCCGGGAGGATGATGATGGTGCCGAGGACGCTGCGGAGATGCTTTGCGAAAGGATGCGTGTGGAGGCGAGGAGGGACGTGGGGTTTTGGGGGGCTATTCCCCAGATCCCTGCACCCATCCCGGGATGGATCCGGCTGCCAGGGAAGGGCTGTGTTTGCTCTCCGCCGCCGGGCGCTTATCGGTGATGTTTGTCCGCTCCGGCCGGGACGGCGTTTGCTTTTGGGGCAGGTCGGCGAGCGCCGCTGCAAAGCCGTCGGGGCGTTGTAGCGACGGGGTGTTCCAACCCCATCGTGTCTGGCTTCCACCGCAGAAACCCGCCCGGCGGCCCCCGTGCCTTCGTCCCCACCGGTCCTCTTCCTCTCTGAAGCGCCCCAGCCCTTGTCCGCAGAGGCGCTGGGTCCGGCACTGCAGCAACTAGACCTGGCAGCGCCCGCCACCCTCCAGGTGAGGACGGTGGGGTGCAATCCCGCCGGTGCCTCAGTTTCCCCACCTGCAAGAGCACCAACGTAACGTGCCTTCGCCTTCCCCCCGCTCACCAGGCCCCTTCCGCCTTCCCTGCCGAATTGAGGCCCCCCAAATTCTGCCAGGAGCAAGCAGACAAGGCGCAGTGGCGGGACGCGAACGGGTACCTGGAGAGGGACGGCTCCAGAGGTAAGGGCGGG